TAAAAGGGGGCCATGCAGCCCACCCAATTTTCATTTTTCGCACTCGTTCTCTCCTCTAAACACACTCTCTCTCTCTCACCATTTCTTGCTCAAATTTGAGGATTTAAGCTCCAAAGATTGGTTGGAGGCTCCATAGGGAGTCACTCGTTCTCGCTGACCAAGGCAATGGTTTCAAGGAAAGTTTATGTTTTATGCAATGCGTCTCCACATCAACTTCCTGAAGACTAAGGTGGAGGAGTGGAAGATTCAGCATATATACAGCACGTTCAGCTAATGACCATGCTGACAGATTAGCTAAAGTCGATGTAGACAGAGAGGAGGACCTGCTGATGGTTTATTCCAGAGTCAGCGCATGAGCGATGAATGTACTGGTGGTATGTGATGCAACGAATGGCAAAGCAATTTTCTGTAAGGGCATTCTTTCACTGCTCATTTTTACACCAAGGTGTGGAATTGTCTCGATCCGCTGCAATTTTTTTTTTTTGGAATCAGGGACTATTGGTTACGTTGCGTTCCTAGTTTCATGTGCGAAACTGATTTTGCAGTTGGTGAGTTTGCCATAAGATGGTGCAAGAATTGGAAACAGGGACATGGCTCCCATACTTAAAGTTCTTACGTTTTCTGTGGCAGATAGTTGTGAGACCTGATGTGTCTGGTTTTGAATGCCTTGTGTGGGAGTTTTTGTGTTTTGGAGCTGTATGAACCTGGGTGAGTGGGTGATGTAGAGTGAGCCTGACTGGTTTTTTGCCTCAAGGGACAACTCATGTTTTTGTGATATTTATGACGAGTTGGGACTTTGCCACCGATGTTCTGGTTGATTTCTCCTTGGCCAGAGCACACGGTTTTTCTCAGCCAAATCAATAAAGATACTAATTTTTTTTTAAAAAAATATTTGGTCAAATTATGTACCATTAATTTTAATATTCTTCTTAAAAATTGAATTTTTATATTTTTCTATTATGTTTATTGACGTGACATTTAATTAAATTGACATAAAGTTAAATGCGATGTTGTGACATTCGACAAGGAACTGTCCTTCCACCCTTGCTGCCATGGCCGCCTTCACTATTCATCATAGATTTCTGATCATGATCATCAAAATTCTTCCTACCATCCGTTTCAAGGAAATCAACAACTCATTTTTCCTTTTAACTTCTTTTTAGTGCAAGCACTCGTTTCGTCTCTCTCACTAGCATCCGATGTTCTCTCTCATAAGCACTGTTTTTTCTATTGAAGAGAATCAAACAGTCTGTTGTTTTTTAATTTATTATTTTACTTCATAATTGGATTAATGTTATTAATTTTGAAAACAATAAACTTGATTTAAAAATTTATTGTACAAAAATTATATCCAAAGAACATATTGTAACGTTTTATTCATCAGTTTAATTTGTCACTTTCATTTTAATATATAAGAATATTGCTACTCCACAGGATATTTATTACCAATTAAATATCTAAACCTTTTAATTAAAATTCTTACTTTATTTTTCAATTTGCGTTTGGGTCTTATGGGCCTGTGTCGCCCAAGTCGGGGGAATCAATAATAGTAATGAGAGCACTAATAAAAATACAAAAAAAAATGCAGAAAATTCTTCAAAAGCACAATTCATAGAAATTAAAAAGATACATAAAAAAGTACAAGAGTATTCAAAAAACAGAAAAAATAAAAAGAATCTACTCCTTAATTGTATATATAAGCCTAAATTTTCTAGAGATTGAAGTCTAACCCACCCAAATCAATACTGCTATGCCACCACTCCAGTATTTATCCCATCAAGAATCACGATTAGGGCCACGATGAATGCATGATCGATGTTGGGATTCACTGTCACCATGAACTTGTCCTTTCCAACCAAGACGCTTTCAACTGTGTGTTTCTTTTGCATCTGCTCACATTCAACAGTCATTACTTAGATTAGTTTTCAAGTGCCTCAGGTTTTAATCAGAAAAAACGGAAGAGATTTTGGTTGAAGCAGGTGCAGAAATCTTACTTGGGCAACTATAGTGGAAGACTCTCCAGCATAAATAACACAGGATCTTTCCGACCAAGTCCCTTTGATCTTAAAGTCACAAACATCC